GCAAAGCCGCAATAGAAACTTAAGTAATATAATCATTTAAAGATTCAAAAAATTAACATATTTTAATTCATTCAAAAACTATATATATATATATATATATATATATATATATATATATATATATATATATATATATATATATATATATATATATATATATATATATATATATATATATATATATATATATAAAAGATAGTCAATGTAGCAACACTCCAGGCTATAAGATAGTCAATGTAGCAACACTCCGTTGTGAGTCAGGCTATAAGATAGTTGATGTAGCATCACTCCCCTGTAGCAGCAGACTATAAGATAGTCGATGTAGCAACGCTCCGCGCATGTTTTTTAAATATATTTTAATAAAACAACAACAAAATTAATTACAAAAATCTTTCTAGCCATTATTATTGAGGTTTTTTTTAAAAACAAAAAAATTTAATGTACTTCCGCATTAATTAATTGCTTTGACATTTTGACAACAATAAAATACAGCTTAAGAGTCGAGGTAGCAAAATTGTAGTCAAAAGAGACTTTTTTACCATAAAAGTCTCTTTCAAATACAATATAAGGATATATATATATATATATATATATATATATATATATATATATATATATATATATATATATATATATATATATATATATATAAAAGGTCCATCTTCTAATATCAGAAGAGAACCACACAAAGAGTACAGAGAGTTTACTAAACACAGTTACCGTGAAAATTTTTTCAGCAACAAGATAATGCCACATTGGAATAACTTAGTAACGCCAAAAACAGTTAACAAATTCAAGAAAAAATATGACGTCTTAACAAAAAAACAAATAACTAACTAATTGCTACTATAGTAGGATTACAATAATTCTACTCTGCAAAGATTTGTAATATCTATACTGTAGAAATAAATAAATATATATATATATATATATATATATATATATATATATATATATATATATATATATATACATACATACATATATATATATATATATATATATATATATATATATATATATATATATATATATATATATATATATATATATATATATATATATATATATATATATATATATATATATATATATATATATATATATATATATATATATATATATATATATATATATATATATATATATATATATATATATATATATATACTCTTGCATGGTAGTCAAAAAGAGTTTCCCATAAACTGTAGTTTTAAAGAGCGCGTTAATAAACCAGACCAGAAAAAGTTTAAAAACTTATACATTTTTTTTTTACAAAATGATAGACTGCCTGCCCATAGGTTTGTTGATATGAAATAGCATTATCATCTAAAAAATTGCGGTGATTGGAGTTTTGGAACAAAAATACCCTTAAAAAGTTTGCCCTATTACAAAGAATGTGAGAGCAATAAGTTATTGACATAAATTATTTTAAGATCTCACACTATATTTGAATTTGTAGAGAGATTTTAAATACCACTTAATGACTTTTTAGATTTTGAAAGTTATGACAGTGTAAAGTTTCCACCTTCCCTAAAATAAGGTTGTTGTAAATTTTAAATTGTCATAACTTTTAAACTCTTGAAGAAAATTCCATAAAATTTAAAACCTATTAATTAAAGTAAATTTAGTATAAAATAGTAAGCAAAAACAAATTCATTAAACAATTGCCCTCACCTTTGAGGTTTGGGGGCAAAATATTGGGGTACTTTGTTCCCAAGCTCCAATCACTGCAATTTTTTGCACAACATTATCATTTGAGATAAGCATAAGCATAAATAAATTTGAGGTTTTCACATTGCCTGAAAGTATAAAACCTGTAATGCCAAGAAATGCATATTGTGCCGCTTATTGCGGTGATTGCAAGTAAACAGAATGGCAACAATTGAATTTTTTTGATATTACAGATTTGACACTTTCAGATGTTATTCAAACTAAAGTATGTTTGTATTTATGTCAAGTTAGGCTTTATTTTAAAGCATAAAATTGCTAGCCATATATGTACACTTTAAGCCATTTAACATAAGCAGTAAGTCATTTTAGTCTAGCCACTTTTTACCATTTTTTAATATTTAAAAAAGTCTAAATATATTGTTTAAGCGATAAGATAAGAGAAGTAATTAACTTTATAAAAACTACTCATGAAGTTTGAATGACCATTAAGTAATAAGGATTTAAGTGACAATTACATTTGATATTAGCGCAATTTACAAATGTAATAAGTAAGAAAAAACAAAGAAACTTTTTATTTTTATCAACTTAACTTTTCCATCAAAAATGTTTAGCAAAAGAAAAAGAAAAAAGATATATGACACTTAAAAAAAGAGGAGCCAACCAAATAGGGGCACTTGATATTTTATTTTCTTTAAAAATATTCATCAGGCATTTTTTTTATTTTTTACAATACAAATACTATAATAGGCACTGTTCTAAAGAGCTAGCCTCTCTTGTGCCATCTATTAAAATTTATTCTCGTGTTATTCGTCATTCAAATAAGTCTAATCTTTTTTCTGTGACTGTTCCTAAGTGCTCCAAAAACTCTTATTCCTCTAGTTTTTTTTCCTGAACATCAGTTCTTTGCAATTTGCTTTCATCATCTTGCTGTCTTGATTCATATAATTTGCAATCTTTTAAGTTGTCTGTCAATTGTTATCTTGCTCTACAATCTTCATGTTTTTTCCCTTTCAGTAACTTCCTACTCTAATTAGTGGTTGCTTGCAGCCTTGTTGGAAGCGAAGATGTTTAAAAAAAATAATAAATTAAATGCAGTTGTAGTGTACTGGTAGGGTTAGGGTTAGGGTGGTAGAGTACTCGACTCATAAGCGAGAAGTTCTGAGGTCAACCTCCACCATGTCCCTGGTAATACCATGCTTAACTTTTTTCTCTGTGCAGCGGCCTTGTTTGTTAAGGTTTGTGTTTCAGAGGTAAAGAAATGAATGAGGGCTGTAACCACAAATAAAGTAGCCTCCTCAACTGTATTGGCCTTCATGGCGTTGGGGAGGTGAATTAATCTTAACATCATATCAAATTGTGTTTTTTCTATACCAAATTTAAGTACTTTGGAATCACAATTTTTTTAAATTTGATTAGTTTTGTTTTTGCAATAATCTTGCATTTTTGTGATATTGGTGTTGAATAATCAAATATCTCATCTTTAGTTTTCACATTTGAGTAGTTTATCTTTTTACATAGCCTTTAGTATTTATAGCAGGCCTCGGCCCAAACTCCCCTAAAGTGATTTAACTTGTCAACTTTATATTATAAATTATTTTATACTACAACAAATGTTTTATTTTTTAATAAATATACTATAAATATTACATAATTATAATACAAAGTTATAATTTTTAAGAAATTGCAAGCAGTATCAATTTTAGTTATAACAAACCTTCATTTTTAGCACATTTAATCAAAATATGCATACTTCGAGAGAATAACTGAGGAAAAAAATAAAAGAAAGTTATCCTAATTATCTAGTCGGTTAATTAAATTCTAGAGAAGAGCAGGATACCAAAATCCCAAATCTTGCAATTTTGGATAACCCCAAAATCTCAAAATTGAGTAGTTTATTCCAGGATCAAAGCACTTAATTCTGATTTAAACACTTTAACCTTGGATTGAATACTTATTCTCAGGATAAAGTCAAAAAATTGTTTACAGCTTTTTTTTAATTTGATTTAAACAGGTCTGCATTTTTTTTAAATTACGACTGCAATAAGTCTAACATTTTTTTATAAAGTAGTTTGTAAATGTTTCATATTTTTAAAAAACTGTTTTTTTGCTACATTATTAAAGAAAAAGTTTTCTTTACAGTTTTTTACAAATACAGTTTATGCACAATTTAAAATGCAACAAAATTGTACAAATATAATAATAATTATAATAATATTAATAAGTCAGAGCCGTAACAACTGGGAACAGAGTGGAGTACAATAAAATAAGATATTGTACTGTAATAGCTATTATTAGTTTTTGAAAAAGTATAGCTTTATGTTGCTCCACAATTTGTTTAGGTAATTTTTTAATTGGTCAACCAAGTCAGCTTCTATGATATATATCTGTCAAGATATTCCATTAGTTACTCTGTTGAAGAAGAAATTAAATCTTTACTTGCTTTTACAAAAAGATTTACTCAAAGTGAATTTGGCTAAAATAGGTTAAGAGCATATTTGAAACTTACGTATAATAACGTTTGAAACCTACATATAATAACATTTAATAATATAATAATATGTATAAGATATTAGTAGGATCCTTCTGAATCTGCACAATGATAGATGCAATGCTAAGTCTAAATCTGAAAATCTTTGAATTTGTTTTGAAAAACTTTTTGGAGAATCATCCTTTTGAATTTCTTTTGAAAGAAATTAAATAAAGCTATAAAAATGACATTTATATATCAATACATTTTTTAAACCTACCAACCTAGAATTTGAACACGCTTGTCTGTGGCCAGACTTTACCGGATTGTAGCTCAACTATTACAAAGATATATCAAACAGAGTTTGATTTTTGCATATGAAATTTGTATATAAAGTTTCCGTTTTGAAAAACTATTACTTTGTAATAAAGTGTGTTGATAGTGTTAACAATATGATTATAATAACACTATTAACAAAGCACCCCAATCTTAACTGATAGGGGCTTAGTCAAATGTAGTTTTTAAATACCACAAAAAATTAAACATACATATATATATATATATATATATATATATATATATATATATATATATATATATATATATATATATATATATCCTTTAAAATATTATAAAAAATACTATAAAATATATATAGTAGCTTGGTAGAATGTATAAAATAAATATTAACAAAAATCGTAAAATAAAAATTAACATAGATCAAATAGACACCCTTCTAACACGTTTCCCTCATTCTTTATATACCCTTATTTTTATTTTTTAAGATCTTATGCTACCATACCAATTTTATGCATTTTAATTAGAATTGATAAAGTTACACTTTTTAAATTAAATATACCTTTCTGAAAATGGAGTTATATTAGCGTACTTGTAACCATTACGTCTAAAAAAATCTATAGCATTCTGTAGTTTTGCATGTTGATTCTCTATAAAAATTAAATCAATAAAAAAAAACTAAACTACATATACTATATAAAAATGAAAAAAGAAAAAACTTTATCTTCGTTGCATCATTTACTGATCTTTAATGATATGTTACAACAACAAATATTTGGTTTATCTTACTTTCAATTTTCTGCTTTGGTTGGAACCCAAAGTAACCATTCTGAGACTTATAGAAACGAAGATTTTTTAAATGACTTGGATGTGCAGCTTTTATTCTGAGTAGTTTTAGCATACTAAGTCTATATTTAAAAAACAAAATAATACTTTAATAAATATTAATTCCGTAATGATACTTAGCACAATATTGTTTAATTCGTTTAACAAATATATATCTAATAATATATAACTAATATATAATATAAAACTAGGTTACAGGTTTTACTGAAATTAAATAAAAAATACAAATAGTAATCAAGTGTTCATAAAAGCATCACGAAACCCGTCGTTGTTTACGTCACGTGTTACTTTTGGCAACTACGCAAACCACTTTTTCACAACATTTTGAAAGCATCAGAGCAACTTACGTCCAAAAAATTGTTTACGGAAGATGAATACAAAATTATTTATGGAGGAAGAATCAAAACCTATTCTGACGTTTATAGGTTTGTTTAAAATGATGACACGAATAAATGAGACAAATTATTTTTTGAATGTTTAAGTAAAAACCGCTTTCGAATATATATAACATGCAAAGATAAACATATGAATAATAGTATAAATTCGCTGTATAAAACCAAAACTTATTTTTAGTATTAGCAAACACATAGAAGTTTTGATAATAAATTAGATTACATATTTAATCGTTTTACAATTCAATAGTAGGTATCTTTTAGGTAATCTTTTACGGAAACGTTTTTTCGACCAAACTCTGTGACACGCTTTTTAAAGCGCGTTCAAGAATTACATTGAATGAACATAGATATTTTTAGACGATTTTTCATCTGACTTTTTTTCCCGTGAACTTTGGGAAGTCAGACGAGTTAACCTCGGTTTTAGCGTTAATGCATTTTACAATCTGCCAGAACAAATATTCATGCGGCTTTACATTGATGTTAGAAAAAAACAATGGAAGACTCCGTAGTTTTAGGAAGTTTCATAGTTTATTTTCTAGCTTTTTAAAAAACTTAAGTTTAGTTCAAATTAGGTTTTTGCAGTAACGTTAAAATCGAAAAAAAGATGTAGTAAAAAAGATTTAGTACCCCTTTCATTAAAAATAATCAAAAAAAAATTTCTGCTTGATTTTTTAACTAAAGTTTTTTCGTCTGACTTCTCAAACTTCGCGCATTAAGTCAGACGAAATATTGCCTAAGATATTTTTTAGAACTAGAACAGTTTAACTTTAATTTTGGATGAATTTATTTATTTTAGAACACATTTTTTTTAGCAAAAATACAAATATGCTGATCTTTATTATTTTGATGCTGAACATATCAGTGATTTATTTATTTTAGCACATTTTTTCTTTTATCTTAATGATTTCAAAAATTTTGTCGTAATTATTGCGTTAAATTTATATCAAAGAGATGTGATCACGCTTTAATATATTCTTTTTTTTTTTTTTTTTTTTAAAAAAATTTTGCTAACTATCTAGTAAGTTTCACTTTAAAAAAATAGTAATAAAACGCCCTACTAACTTGTCAAAAAAAGTTCTTTTTTTTTTCGTCTTCACCAACGCTATTCCTAGATGAAGGAGGGTTTAACATTTTTTTTTATGACAAAATAGTAAAATTGAACTTAATAGTAATACTATAATTATTATATTAACTATTGGTATTAATGGTTAACTACTAGTATTAAGTATTAGTATTACCTATAAAAAATGGCTTTGAATATGAATTAAAAAGTATTAAATAAACTGTGACATTAAAGATTATTTAGGAAGCTACACATAGAGTTGAAATGAAAACGACTGTTTGAGGAAAGTAATCACGTGTCACACACAAAAGTACAATGCTATTAACAAAAATGAAAAAATAGCTAAAAATGGAGAAATATTTTGAAATAATTTCTATAAAACAAAGAGGTTGATTTGAGTTTAGTAAAGTTGATTTGAGTTATGACCAAAGAAACAGAATTATAAATAATCTAAAAAGAAAATACACGTAACAGATGTTAGTATACTAGCTAAACCAACAATAAAAAAAAGGTAAAATATAAAAGAGAAAGTATCTAAAAGAGAA